ATTTTTTTTCCATATTGATAATTAATTGCCTGGCATCATTTATTATTTAGCCCTCAGTTTTCCCACTGGCTGATTTTAAATGCCACCTCCAACAACTATCATAGTTCCTCAAATGCACAAACCTCTTTCAGGCTCTCTTTTCTGTTATTTTTTTCAATGTTTTTATTTCTATATAAATCCTACGTTTTCTTAATTTAAGTAGCTTTATATTTTCTATATAAATACTACGTTTTCTTAATTTCAGTAGCTTTATATTTTCTATATAAATACTACGTTTTCTTAATTTCAGGAGCTTTATATTTTCTATATAAATACTACGTTTTCTTAATTTCTGGAGCTTTATATTTTCTATATAAATACTACGTTTTCTTAATTTCAGGAGCTTTATATTTTCTATATAAATACTATGTTTTCTTAATTTCAGGAGCTTTATATTTTCTATGTAAATACTACGTTTTCTTAATTTCAGTAGCTTTATATTTTCTATATAAATACTACATTTTCTTAATTTCAGTAGCTTTATATTTATATTTATTCTTGACATCTGATGGGATATATTCCTCCACTTTCTTCATTTCCTTCATTAGAAATATTTTACCTGTTTCTGGTCTTTGGTTATGTTATATACATTTAAGAATTATTTTATCAAATTCCACAGAAGCCCTGTTGAGATTTTGGGTGGAATTTCTTAGCATGCGTTTGTTAAATAAGGATCATGTTCAATTTTCTCCTAAATTTTTCATTCATTTTCAACATTTAATAATCATTCATTGAGTCACTATAGTGGGTCCTGCGAATAAGACAGAGAAGGAACATGACCTTCAAACTCAGTTAAGTAGCAGTAAAGTAGGAGTGGGGCATCCAGACATAACTATAATACAACAATCATAGCAAACTTTTTATTGGATGTATCATGTGTCAGACACATTTTCAAGCAGTTTACGTATGTTGTCTTATTTAACCCATAAAAACATATAAAGTAGATAGTATTATATTCTCTAGTTGAGGAAATTGAGGTCCCAAAGTAGAAACAGCCCAAATATTTATTGATGATCAAATGGATAAATAGGTTTTTAAAAAAATGTTGACACATCAAAATATTATGCAATGGCTAAAAGTGAGTGAAGCATACACAATAACAGGAAAGACTCAGAAACATAATAAATTTGAGTAGTCAACACATTAGAAGAGGGAACAAGTTATAGTGCAATTTTTAATAAGGATTAAATAAGTTGGAGGAGCCTAGATTCCCTAATTAGCAGGGGTAAGCAAACCGTAACGCTTGGTGCAAATCTGATCTGCTGCCTGTTTTTATGAATAAAGTTTTATTGGAATACGGCCATGGCTGTTCACTGATGCGTTGTCTGTGGTTGCTTTTGCACTGTGAGAGGCAGAGTTGAGTGACAGAGACCATCCGGTCTGCAGAGCCTCAACTGTTTACTGTGTGAGTCTTTACAGAAAAAGTTTGCTAATCCCTGACTCTGGCTTGGGTAACTGGGTGAATGAAATTCACTAAGTTTGGAAATCCACAAGATAAGTAGTTTACCTTGGGACAAAATGAATTGGCAGTGTCGATGTGAACATTTGACTCTTGATTCTCTAGTGAGTGTGTAGGCTTCTCTACTTTGGGCATTTATTATGATATTTGCATAGGTCATTTGATGTCAACTCCAATATCGTACTCTGATTTTAGTGTCCTTTTTAATTTAGGGCACAAAGGATTTTTAAAATTCTTACTTTTGAGGTTGGCTATGTTTAAAATGTCAAGAAGAGAAGATTTGAAGTGCTCCCAACTCAAATAAATGATAAATTTTGAGGTGATGGGTATCCTAAATACCATGATTTGATCACTGCACGTTATATGCATATATCAAACTATTACATGTACCCCATAAATACGTATAATTATTATGTATAAATAAAAAAATTAAAATGTGTTTAAATGACCAAATCCAACTGTCTTTGGTTTTGAGTAAGCTGGAAGGTCCTTCAGCTGTCTGTCATAACAATGAGAAATTCTCACTCTTCTTATGTCTATTTCTTATATGTATTTTTAATGAAATACAATGAGATATTCTTTGGGGTATCAAAAACAGTATAATAAACGCAAGCATTTCTGGTGCTTTAGCTTGAAACGAGGTCTGCACTTAATGACCAAGGAGAATAAGAAGTTGGCATGGTTCATTTATTATTCCAATATAATATTAATTCTGTCCACACTAGTATGGAAATAAATGGTGTGTAAGTCATGATTAAATTTTCTGCTGGTGGAAGCATACATGTGTGCAGCCACTTTAGAAAATTGTTTTACAGTATATCCAAAGCTACACATACACCTACCCATTGTAGGTAATATCCAAGTGAAAGAAGTGCTTATGTCTACCAAAAGATATGCACCAGAATGTTTGTGGCAGCTTTTCATAGAGCCAGAAACTGGAAGCAGCTCAGATGTCCATCAAAGGAAGATGAATTCACACACTGCGGTATATTTATACAATGGAATACCACACAACAGTAAGAAGGGACAAGCTCGTGACACATGCAACAACATGGATGAATCTCAAAAACAACGTGTCGAACAAAAGAAGCCAGATAAAAAAGATACTGTGTGATTCCACTTGCATTTCAAGAACAGGCAAAGCGACTCTGTGACAGCAGAGGTCAGAACAGTGTTTATCTGTAGCGTCCAGGTCAGTGGTTACCGGGTAAATCCATGGGGAATATTTTTGGATGTTGAAAATGTTCTGTCTTGCCCTGATGATTGCACAGGTGTATACCCATGTAAGAGTTCACATGTAAGTGATGCACGTCAAGGTTTGTGCATTTTATGTAAGTTACACCTCATTAAACAAAGAAAACATTGAGCAGTTTTCTGAGGTGCCTGGGGTGCATATATTCTATGTGCATGAGAGAGAAGAGTTCCTATGGACATCAGATACTGATATAGGAATCTTAAAGTTTATGATCTTTTATGAAAACAGCAGATCCTACAACAGACACCAGGGCCTACTTGAGAGTAAAGGGTGGGAGGAGGGTGAAGACTGAAAAGCTACCTATTGGGTACTATGCCTCTTACCTGGGTGATGAATTAAATCTGAATACCAAACCTCATGACATGCAATTTATTTATATAACAAACCTGCACATGTACCGCTGAACCTAAAAGTTAAAAAAGAAAATGACAGGTCCTGACTTTTATTCTTTCCCGAGGAGGTTCCACTTCACTTCCCAATGGAAGTTAGCTATAGAGGAAAAAAAAAAGTTAACTTTTTTCCCTAAAGAAAGTTTTTGATTTGCTCATGTATTTCAGCAATTATTATTTGAGATCCTCAGATTCCATTCATAGAAAATGGAAAATCCTAGGGGTAGAGTTAGTTGCCCCAACTGTAGATGGACCTGAGGATATGTCTCTTGGGCGGCTGTTTTGTAACAGGTCTGCCAAGATGAGCTGGCTGCGGAGATATTTCCGTGAAGGTGAAGAGTTAACCTGGCTTTACTCTGTGTTCCTTAGTATCTCCCATTTGAATGTAATTTAGATTTTGGCATAGTTAATATTGAGCTATACTTCCTTGTGGTAACTTGGCTGTTTAAAGTCATCGTTAGTTCATGATAGTCAAACTATGTCATCAGTACCATTCAGTTCTACTTTTAAATGCATTTTATTCTATACTAACTTTGAAATGTATGCTCCACATGTGAGCTGGACGGCGATTATTACTTAAGATATTTAACTACTGAATCTGTAATATCCAGTCCAGCTGCATATCAGTTTTCTAAAATGAACATGTGTTATTTTAATCAAATAATTTATATATATGCATGTATATGTATGTATATATATTATACATTCTCTCTCTCTCTCTCTCTCTCTCTGTCTGTAGTTATCTTTCATGAATTTCACTGGGGATTCCACTGCACAGCTTCATAAGAAGCTCTGGTGTATCATATCTCAAACCAAACTCCTTCATCTTCTTCCTCCAACTTAAGACTAGCATCTTCATGGAGACAGTGACTGAAACCACAGAGGTGCTCTCCATCTCCATCCTCATTCTATCACACAAGGAGGCCTGTGTGTGCTAACTTTGCAGAATTTCTCCTCTCTATATTGTTCTTCATCCTTATGTTATTATCCCTCCAATCCATTCTTCTAAAATCATAGGGGTGATCGTTCTAAAACACGAAGCTGATCATATTATACCCTTGTCAAAAGTACCATTGCCTCTCAGATTAAATTCAAACTTCACAGCCTGCCGGGGACGTGATTACCTGACTCCTGCCTACTTAATTTATTTATTGCTGGTTAAATCTCTTCTTATTCAAGATCTGTGCTCCAGCCATGCCAAGTTTCTTGCAGTCGTCTTCACTCGCCAGGTTAACGTAAGCCGTTGTACGTGTGGTTCTCTTATGTTACTCGCTTCCACCCTCCACCTACACAATGCTCAAGACTGAACACAACCCCTGCTCTGACTTGCTTCAGCTACTCATTTTTCACCACCCTGTGAACAGCAACACGTGCATTCATATGCTATTCCCCCACTTGAATGTCCCTATTAATTATCTTCATCTTTCCAGGCCTATTTTAACAGTGGAGATTCCGAGGCTATTTTAATAGATAGTGGCGATAGTTTAGAGTCAGAACCTGTTCAGGGACTATAGAATTTGGATCTTCCCTCTTGCCCAGGGCCTTCCTGACAAACTAGAACAGCCTTTGTGTGGATGAGCGGAAGAGCAGGAGCGAGACCTCTGGTCCTATCTTGTCACGCCATGGTTGTATGGGAGGAAGCAACTAAAGCAAACAGGAAGCTGAGAAATTGGCCAACTGGGGACATTCTTGATAACCACTGTGGATATTTCAGAGGAACGAAAGCCTTCAGAGCTGGGCTTGGACGAAGGGAACTGGTCTGCCAACTGTTGCTTTGCTGTGTAGATACAGCTGGTCTTAGACATTTGCATTTGATTATATTTTACTTGTTCTGATGTCTAAATCTATCTTTTGACAGGAATACCTAAAAGAACAAAAGTTCTGCATTGAAGATTCCTTGTGAAACACTTGGGGTTATAGGTGACTTCTTTTTCCCTATGAATCAAAATCTTGCTATTAAATTAATAAAGAGTTCTCGGGTTGCAGGAGAGCCAAGTTTCTGTCATTCTCCATTACACATTGGGAAATGGGAAAGAGAAGAAAGAAACGTGCTGGAACACAGAGAGCCAGCCACTCTGCTGAGCCTCTTCCAGTCACTTTATGAGAGTCAGTCATGCCACGGATCAAATGAGGAGATTCCTAAAACCGAGACATTCTGTGTAGAGAAGAAGCCCCTTAGCAAGCAGAAGAATATCACCTTGGTATTAATTTCTTACCTGTTTGTAGTGTCTTAGAGGCCAAATAAATTTGTTATATAAAATATGAAGCTTCTTGTAATATTATGACAAATGGCCATTGTATTCCATCTATTTTTAAAATTAGTTTTTCCTTTTTACTCTCATGATAGTTTGAAGTGAACCAAACAGCCGGCTCATTGTTTGAGAAACAGTTGTTTCACGGGTGAATCGACTCCTCTTCGGCAGCCACTGGTTTGCTAAGGATTTACTTTGAACATTTCGATGGTAAGTGACAGAGTCCTCAGGTTTAAGTATATTCTGATGTGAGTCACATCCAGAAAACTTGGGAAAGGGAAAAAGAAAAAAAAAGGAACACACTGGTCAAGATTTTTGTTTGTTTGTTTCAACGTTCCACATAAGGCTGGTGCCAGATGTTCACATTTCATCTTGCCTGAATAAAAATCTTTCTTATTCAAGAATGTCAATATCATTTAACAGCAAAAGCAATATAATTACACTATTCAATAAACATTTAACAAGACACAGACATTTTCAGCTAAAAGAGGACTTACCAGAATGTACCTTTTAGCAATTTAGTAGTTAAATTAGTTTCAAAAAATCTATTTTTTTAAACAACATCTGGTGAACAGTCTCTAATTTCTGCAGTTTTGGAATGAAAAGGCGCCGCCCCAGTTCATTGCTACGAACAATTTGCTGGCTGTTTACCTTAATGCCAATCTCACCCCCCTGCCAGACACATATATTTCAAATGTGTTTTCTATATTTAAAAAAAACCCAGCAAATTCAGTTTCCCGGGCATGAAGTTAATGCCATTGAGTCACCAACTGTCACCTGCTTTAAGATGTCATGCTTCTCTTGGCACAGAGGAATCAGCCACATTGTAAAGAAAAATGATTTACTGGCTATGCCTTCGCTTCAGTTTGCCACAGTACCCTGATAGGCAAAGTGCCGGGAGAAGGGAGGGAGGAGGTGAGACCGATAATCCACTTGATCTCAGCTGGTAGTTTCAATTTCCTCTTCTTCTTTGAGCTGATGCAGTTTGAGATACATTAACATGAATGATCTGAAAGGATTGAAAATATCTGCTAACCCATAGCAGAGTCACCAGTCCCAGTCAGGCTTGTCAATGTCATGACAGTGGCATACAGGATGGCAGTGAGGAGCACCAACAGCCTGAAACACTTATGTGGTTCCATATTTTAATCTAGTTGCTAAAGCCCCCTCCTTTAATTTTTTAAAGGTTTTATGGCTGAGTTAATTTACATGCCTGGCTTACCAGGACAATATTGGGCTGTATTTTGCTTTGAAATGTATGACAACAGTCATTGACATACATCAGAGGTCAAAACATAGATCGTTGTTAGAGAAACACCTTGTACTGATTAAATATGTTTCCTCTATGAAACACAAAGTGTGCACACATTCACAGTGTGGCTCCTTGTACAATTTTCAAGGGCAAGGTGCAGCTTCAGTTTATGGATGAGAAAATAAAGATTAAGGGCCTAATGCAAGCAGAAACGTTGGTCCTTGCTGGGAGGCAGAGCTCCTTAGTGGAAAGAAAGTTGGGCGGTAAGTCAGAGGACTAGGTTATGGTATAAATTTTGCCATTAGCTGTGGCATATTGGATAATCCCTCTCTTTTTTTAGTGCCCTTGTTTTGGCATCTGTAAGTTCAATGCATTTTTGTATCTTCAGAACTGTAGATGTAGAGTTGAAAGGAGTATTTAGTCATATGACTTCCATAAAACCCCTTGGAAACAAGTTCAACTGTGTGTGCACAGAATGGGAAAAGATCTTTTCTCCGTCTCGTAGGGAGGTGTGTTGTGAGAGGCTGCTTGTCCTGGGAGATAAGATCCCTAAGGGCACTGCTAGTGAGACGATGGTAGATTGCCACTGGAAGGCTGGTTGTGGGGTTTTGTTCTCCTGAGTGGGTTTTGCAAAGCGAGGACAAGAGCTTAATATTTGGATTAGGTCTTATTAGGGAAGAGAAGACAAGGGTTGAGATAGTTGTCAGGCAAGAGAAACTTTAAGGGACAGAACAAAACTGCTTAATGGGGTTTTGGATTCAATTTCCTCTGGGAACGCGCCTTAGTCTTTTACCCGCAAATCTTAAGTGAACCATCCCATGTGTGTCCATGCATTGCCTCGTTGGACTGTTTTGAAGACAGGTAGAAGTGCTGAGTGTGGTTTTCAGATCACATTGCATTTCAGATAGGGCCGTCGTCCCATTTCGGGGGCTTGCCTACATGTTAACAAATAGTCATGGAGAGGAAATGTCGTGTCAGACATCTGAAGGATATGGCAAGATGAGCTACAAGGAGAGTGTCCTATTACTGTGGTGGAATGGAAAATGGCTTTAAAAATATTCCCAGGATTATTTAAGTTCTTCATAATTTAGGTTTCATGCCACTGGGAGCATACAAAATAGATCGCTTTCCATCCTGCTTCATCCTGCTTTTGCATGTGGACAGGTTCAATGTCTTCCATTTTGTTCCCCAAATTAAACATAACCAAGTGAATGGATTTTATCTTCTCAAAGGGCAAGAGGAATTAGTTGTACATGAAGAAGCTAAGAATGTAGCTCTGTGTAAAGAAGATGATGTTTTCTTACATCTTCTATTAGATGATAGGCACTGTGCAAGTATTAGCTATTATTATTGTTGTCAGCATTTTTCTGTGAAAGGCGAGCTCGTCAAAAATATGAAGTAGGGTCAGGTGCGGTGGCTCACGCCTGTAATCCCAGCACTTTGGGAGGCTGGGTTGGGCAGACCACAAGGCCAGGAGTTCAAGACCAGCCTGGCCAATATGGTGAAACCTCATCTCTACTAAAAATACAAATATGTGTATATATATATCTATATATATCTATATATATCTCTCTATATATATATATCTGGGCATGGTGGCTTGTACCTGTAATCCCAGCTACTTGGGAGGCTGAGGCAGGAGAATTGCTTGAATCCAGGAGACGGAGGTTGCAGTGAGCCGAGATCGCGCCACTGCACTCCAGCCTGGACGACAGAGCAAGACTCTGTCTCGGAGAAAAAAAAAGAAAAAAAATGAAATAGGAGAAATGCATCTTCCAGTGGTAATTATCCTCTTAAGTAAGCTAAACTCAAAATCCTCCAAGGATTCTGATATTACTGGCAGGACATCATCATTATTATTATTATCTTTATTTTGAGATGGAGTCTCGTTCTGTTGCCCAGGCTGAAGTGCAGTGGCGCGATCTCGGCTCACTGCAAGCTCTGCCTCCTGGGTTCACCCCGTTCTCCTGCCTCAGCCTCCCGAGTAGCTGGGAATACAGGTGCCCACCACCACGCCTGGCTAAATTTTTGTATTTTTAGTAGAGATGGAGTTTCACTGTGTTAGCCAGGATGGTCTCGATCTCTGAACCTCATGATCCGCCCGCCTCCGCCTCCCAAAGTGCTGGGATTACAGGCTGAGCCACCGCGCCCGGCCTGGCAGGACATTTCAGAGCTCCCAGGTGATCTAAGGCACAGTCGAGAATAAAGAGCCACATCCTTCAAAAGAGAAAACAACTATATATATAAAAAATATTCTACAAATATATATATATTTCTACATGTATATGAAATTTGTAACAGTTTTATTTGTAGAATATTTTCATTGTGATACTGATGATTGACAGGGCTTTGATTATATTTAGTAGGGCAAATGACAATTAAAATACAATTAAAATTAGTCGTGGATGTCAAAGTATTTTATTCCCTTTAGTTGATACTCAGGTGGGTCTTATTCTCATCGCTTTTTCCTCATCTTGCCAGCAGCTTGGTTTGTCTGCTCTTCAGTTTGGATCGTACTGTTTTCAGTAGACAGATGATCTCCCCCGGGCTGTCTGGAAAAATCATGCTTTTTTGAAACAGCTTATGAAAGTTCACAGCCACTTTTACTCTACAGATAAATGACTGAAATCCCTGGACTGCTACTCTAATTGTATGAATCCTAATAGGTGTGTGGTGGTGTGTCTCATTGTCATTGAAATTTGCAGTCCCCTAATGACATCTGATGTGGAACATCTTTTCACATGCTTGCTTGCTGTCTGTGTATCTACTTTGGTGTAGTGTCTGTTCAGATCTTTTGTCCATTTTGTAATTGGGTTGTTTTCCTTCTTATTACTGAGTTTTTGTTTTATTTATTTATTTTTTGAGACAGAGTGTTGCTCAGTCACCCAGGCTGGAGTGCAGTGGCACAATCTTGGCTCACTGCAACCTCCGCCTCCTGGGTTCAAGCGATTCTCCTGCCTCAGCCTCCCTAGTAGCTAGGATTACAGGCACGTGTCACCACGCCCAGCTGATTTTTGTGTTTTTAGTAGAGATGGGGTTTCACCCTGTTGGCCAGGCTGCTCTTGAACTCCTGATCTCAAGTGATCTGCCCGCCTCGGTCTCCCAAAGTGCTGGGATTACAGGCGTCAGCCGCCACGCCCGGCCTTGTTACTGAGTTTTAAGAAAACTTTGGATATTGTGCTTATCAGTCCTTTATCAGATATGTGTTTTGCAAATACTTCCTACCAGTCGGTGGCTTGTCTCCTTATTCTCTTAAGAGTGTCTGTTTCAGAAAAGAAGTTTGTAATTTTAATTGCGTTCCACTTATTTCGGTGCTGTATCTAAAGAGTCACCACCAAGCCAAGGACACCAAGACTTCCTCCTCTGTTATCTTCTAGGAATTTTAGTTTTGCATTTTACATTTAGGGCTATAATTCCTTTGGGGTCAGTTTTTGTGAAAGTTATAAGGTGTTTGTCTAGATTTGTTTTTTTGTGCGTGAATGTTCAGTTTTTCCAGCCCTGTTTGTTTTAAGCTCTATCCTTTCTCCGTTGACTTGTATCTGTTGCTTTGCCAAAGATCAGTTACTATATTTGTGTGAATCTATTTCTGGCCTATAATTCCACCGGTCTCTTCTTCCACCAGTACCACGTTGCCTTGATTATTGCAGCTTTCTAGGAATTCTTGAAGTCGGGTAGTGCCACTCCTCCCACTTTGCTCTTTGTCTCACTTAGTACTTTTGCCTTGAAATCAATGAAGTCATAATAAAGTAACAAACTCTTCTTTTTATTTGTATTTGCCTAACACACTTTCACTGATAATTTTATTTTTAATGATTACATACAGCATAATATTGGGTTTTGCTTTGTGGTATGATTTGTAAGCCTTTTTCTGTTATTAGGAATGTTTTTCCCATTTACGTTTGTGGACATGTCTCATGCCATTTGTACATGTCACTATATTTAATATTATAATTTTGAG